AATATTATTAAATATTATTATAAGAAATAACGAAATAAATAAAGACAAAGTAAATCTATTAATTAAAATGAGAAATGATAGAGAAGCAGCTGATTAGAGAAGAGTGCGCGAGAGAGAGAGAGAGGAGAAAAACTGAATATAAGGAAGTAATGAATTAAAATATTTTTTTGTAAGAAAAAAACAATCTTGAAATTTTGTGTGATGTCGAGGACAAGAAAGCAAAGACTGAAAGCGAATTGAGATAATTTTTATTTTACAGCCCAAAGAAATCCAAAGGATGCGACAGCGAGGACGATCACGAGGAGGAATTCTATTATCAGGAAGTCGCTGTGGATCACATGAGTTCACCTCCCACGATGTCTCACCGGGACATGGCAAGACCTCCGCATGAGGATCCAGAGTACCAAAAGCAGCTTCGTCTTGAGGCGACTCCTGTCGCGAGTAATTTTATCGAGAACGGAATGGTCGGTGTCAGGGAACCGAGCAACACGTTTACGATCTCGCAATCGCCGGTAGGTAATCGCGCGTTCAGACCGTAAACCGGTACTATGAGAAATACAGACTAAATTTATTTTTCTTTTATTTCAGGGTACACCCAATAAACACATCAAATTGTCACCGCGGCCATTGCAGGCGTGTCATCAACAGAACATGACAACGTCCACGGGCAAGCCGTCCTCTCCGCGGCGAACTCGCAGCGATGTTAAGAAATGTCGCAAGATCTACGGTATGGATTCACGTGACCTCTGGTGCACTCAATGTAGGTGGAAGAAGGCCTGCACCCGTTTCTGCAGCGAATAGGCCAAGCGTCCGCCCCGTTCGTACGTCCGTGGGCGGAAACCCTTGTCAAGTCGACCCCAGAGTTTGCCAATGCTACATTGAACATTAACACCAACTGCCAAATGCCAATCATCGTCGAAGATACGGCGCCGAGAAAATAGCTCTCGCATTCGGAGCACGAGACGCAAAACCGCCAATTATATCGCCGGTTGTAGCGAAAAGTGTTATCCTATGAGTTATTCCAACATATACCGGGACTTCTCATAAAAAAGCAAAAATCCAAAGCTCGTAAAAGCAGCATCTCTTCCTCTGCTCTCTGTTTTCCGTCGTCGAGACGGCATGCACGAGTTTTGAAGAGAAACATCTTTCTGTAATTACGGTTGGCAGGTAGCTCTATAGGGTTGATAATCAGATAAAAAGGGTGCATGATATAACACTTTTCTAGTGCTCATAGAGGAAGTTACCAACGTAAGATTTATCTGAACGATTTCCGCCCGTTCGTGTTTTGCATTTGGCAAACTCCGATCGGGTCCCTTAGTCGTAACGAGGGACTTTTCGATTAAAATAGATAGCGAATAATTGGCGTGCGGAGCGAGGCGACCTCAAATTGTTGCATTCTCTCGCTCCCAACTCGCCTAACAAAGAGAACCTTTTGGTTCGGTACGAATAAGATACGCACTCGCACTTAGAGCGAGCATGCATGTCCTTCGAAGTGCTGATTCCCGAACCGTCTCTTAGGTCATTGCAATAGATCTTCCTTCTTCCGCTAAGAGCGCAAACGTTAATGCGCTCTCGGTAATGATGGAACTAAAGGCGTTAGATCAATCCTTAGGGACGCCGTCCGGCCGATCCCTGGGGAACGAACGATCGAATCTGACGGACGAAGGGAAGACCGGCGGAATGTTCGGTCTGACCGATGTTCAATGCTAAACGAACGCAGACAAGCAAGATTGGTAAGTCTCGCGTGGAACAGAGCTGCTAATTGTGATATTGTATCTAAATTTATTGGATCTGCCGTGAATCGAGCAGGAAAGTGCAAAGGTGTGTAAAGAAATGAGAGAAGGAAAGATAAAAAAAAGAAGAAACAAAATTTTATACACCAATTATACTGCCAGATAAATAATTCAAAAAATTGTTGTTCAAGCCTCTCTCTCGCGCGTTAAAGAGGCACTATATGTTGCACGGCATGCGTCGCCGTATACCGGACTTAGCCTTGTTAGCCTTCTGACGACCTAAGACCGTGTTCGCCAACAAAGGAGCTGCACGCGCGTATTGGGGTAGGGCTACGCAGTTGAATCGATCGATCTAATATTTAAAGATTTCGCTCCAGATCACATACATGCACTCATTAAACACACAGGTACACTTATATACATACATGTACCGCGTGTTGCATCAACGTATTAGTCAGACGTCGATTATTTTATAAGTGTAATGCCTATTAGAGAAGGCATTACATTCATAAAATGTAATCAATTAATTAATCGATTAATTTTATAAATGTAATATTTACTAAAAACATTTATAAAATAATCTGACATACTGGCCGATATATGTTGATGCAACAGGCGGTACATCGCGAGCGCGAAGAATAGTGACATCACATTTGTATAGTCTAATCTATGTCATTTCTTATACTCCTTTCTCGCTTCAGGTCATTCGCGGAACGATTTATCCACTCGAATCGATTATTTCGAAATACAACGTTTGATCTCGATAATTTTTCTAATGTAGCGATAACGAATGGACACTTGCAAATTTTATATGTTGACAAATTTGATGAAACAAACTTTGCAAGTAAGCGCTATGTCCTAAGAGAATTCAACATTAATGACTCCTGATTTCTCATCGTAGTCGACTGAGTTACATTAGAAATCAAATTCGGATTTTATTTGAAAATATATGCGTGTTCTCTATAAAAATGAACTTTTTTATAAAGATAAATCGTATTTGTAAAATAAATTTATAAATATAATTATATACTTATTTTTTGTACATACGTATTTATATATATTTATATTTATTAAGGTATATGTTATTTACAAATTTATTTTAACTATTCTTAATTAATCAAAATATTTTAAATCCACAGACTGAAAGAAAAATATTGCCTATTGAGATATTGGTCTGTGAGAAAAATTAAAACAAAAAATACTTTGAATAGCACAAGAAAAAAAATTGCATAATTTTTGTTTTTAATGTAATTCAATACGACTGTCATTTGAAGGATCAATTAAGATTTTAATGCAATAAATGACAAAATATTTCATATTTCACGGAAGAAAATCAGCGAAATGTTGCAATGTATACTATACTAAAAGCAGCAGTCGCTAATAAAAGTTTCTTCCAATTTCCCGATCGTTGTTCGTACGTTAGTATAATTATCTTGTATATTTAATATAATTATATTCTTGTATATTGTGTCTTGTATATTACGTGTTATTATCTTGTATAGCCCCTCGTTTTTTTTATAATTATTGAACTTAATGTATTAAGAATTAGTATATTACTGTTGTTTATTAATAACGGCATCACGACACGGGGTTTAGATTTTATTAGCATAATAAGTGTCAATTCTGTTGACGAATTGCGTTAATTTAAATTCAATGATTCGAGAGTATAACTCAGAAAGAGATCAATAATTCTCGCAAAAAGGTAATGGATTACCTTTGTGTTCAAAACCGTAAGCATCGCGTTGTCAGTATTTCTCTTTTTAATCAATGTCATCGTATCCGTATTTTCCAAAGGAAACTCGCAGTTTTTTTTTAATTACCAAATGGTAATGATTGCTATTTAATACAATGTTGTCGTCGCACAGAAAAGATTTGTTTCTTCCCAAGCAAATTTGACGAACAACTCGTATGGTACAAGATACTACCTCTGATTGTATCTGTTCATCGAAATGCTTATCGCATTTTATAAATTTATGAAACACAACAGCACTCAAATAATAATTATAATAATATTCATGCGAAAGTTAAGGTGCTGTTAAAACTTTGATCATAGTCAATTTTTTATATCGTATTCACAATCATATAGAGAATTGTTATAAAATATATTTGCAAAATAGAACAACATACAATTACAGATAGCATAGAAAATAATTGCCGTCCATATAGGTTCCTTACTACTGTCAAAATTATTGTATGTATAGACAGAATTTACCGAGGACAATACGGAAACTGCTAAGGAGTGATACTATCACTTAATACTTAATTATTAATATGACTTCTCTACCGTCATTTTATTCTATGCAATCTGTATATATGACGTTAAAGTGCGGCGGTAACATTGAAATTTTTAATACCGAAAAGAAATTATTTCTAAAATTCTACAAGGCTCTCATCCATAGAGTAGTAGTATTTCTAAAAATATCATTTTTAAAAAACTTTTTATACGTTCAGTATACAATATTCTTCTTAGAATATTTATTGAGATGTCTAATCTTTTAAATTTCGGCATTTTTGCGTTTATTTGTTCATTCGTATTTTCGAACACGTGCAGTTGGCGACAAGTATGGCTTCTGACATTTTATATGGTGTCTCACATTTTCGAATTGAATACATCATGAATATATTATATGATTGGAGTGCGTTTAGTAGACTGTCTGATGTCCTGAATTTTTAAAAGATAAATAACGCTAGACATTAAATTAAAAGGACAAAAAAAATAATTTCGAATTTTTAGTCATGATGATGTATGAATATTTAAATACGATTCGTTTGATGTGAAGACATACGTGACGCTAAGTGTACTATATCGGGCGAACTTTAAGTAAAAGTTGAAACGGGAATCAAAACCGTTGATTGAAACGACAAATAACACATTGGATCGTGTTATATTTCTCGGTAGTAATAATCCAGCCGCTTAGCCGATCGTTTAAGCTTCCGACTCCGTTAACACGGTGCGATGCGAATTCGCTACGCGATATCGTGTCCCAAACATGACACACAAAACACAGTAACACGCAGCAATAAATTTTTGATGGTCTCTCAGAAATTCGTACGATTTATTGTTGATCCCACTCTGCACGATGACAGAAAATGATAGATCGCGTGCTAAGATCGAGTGTCACTCGACAGGAGTATCGCGTTGAAGAGAATTTTGGCGGACACACCTATCCGCAGAATGGCACTTCGCGAATGTAAACAAGTACAAGTTTATTAACTGTGCCATTACGTATGCCAAATATTCTCTAATTGTGCCCTCACCCTCGCGTAAAGAATAAGCGAGAAAGGAAGAGCCCCTCCGCAAGCGAAGGGGAGGGAAGGCAACCCTTATAGAAAAATACTAGTACTGGCCAAAATCATTTATTTTGAATATTAATAATACTGTTTAAAAACTACAATACTTTTAATACTCATTCAATAAGTGATTAACTGGCCAGTGCTTAAATTTCTACAAGGCAACTCAATGCGAAGCAAGGGAGGGTGACGAAAAACGGGCAAGTTTCAAACATTCGTAACGAAAGCTTTACAGACTTAAAGATACCTCAGGTTTATTTCATACGAACGTACAGCATACACACCTCGTCGTTCCGTTCGAAGCGACCGGCCGGTCGAGATTATGTCCTCTTTTTTTGCATCGTCCGAATGATGAACGATTCACCGTCCATCTGTCGCTTCGGCCTGGACGACTGACTGATGAACACCGAACGTTACAAAGTAATATGTATCTCTCTCGCGATATGTTAATGTCAATATTTACTTAGTCAAAGCTCCCGTCGCAACGAGTCGTCGCGACGGTTCGGGACATCGTGTAATATACATTAGCTAATACACTGCGGGGTTTAATCGGCGGTCCGGAGACTTTCGAGGTCGCATCCGCCGCGTAGCCTAAACCAGATGACTCCCCGCTGGTCTCTTCTTCTTCTTCTTCTTCTTCTTTACTTATTGGCTCTCGCCTCCAAAGAAAATGATAGGAGGACGATACGGTCAGATCACAACTCCCCGCTGGTGACGAGCCCATTGTTATCCGACGCGTTTAATCGTAGCGCTCGGACATTGATCGTTTCACTCGAGACGAGTGGTGCTTTTTAACAAGCGACACAATCATCATATTAGCTTTGTTTTTATTAACATTGGCAGATAATAAGAATGTAATTCAGGCCTGGTTGTTTCACTTTTTGATAAATTTTACCTGTTAGGTAAGTAGCAAGATTATCGAATCATAGACGCGGATTACCGGATATAGATTTATCTTACAGATAAAATTTACCAAAAAATGAAACAACCGGCCTGTGTTACTGTGGGTACTTTCTCTTTGATGACACAATTAGTCGACTCAAGTGTCATTCTATCTTTGTTAGAGAAAGATAGAATGATACTTACGTCGACTTGTGTCATCAAATGGAAAATGGCATCCATTGTATCATCTGTGTCTCTTGCTGGAAAGCACTTGAGGATTTGTCATCGGTCGATCGACAAGCGGAGACACATTCGCGTTCGCGCTCGAGGGCTAACCGAGCGTACAAGTTCGAATTCAGAAAACGCGTCTCTCTCTCTCATTCTCTTTCTCTCTCTCTCTCTCTCTCTCTCTCTCTCTCTCTTTCTCTCAAAGCCAGCTGCTGCATACGTACGCGGTAATCGTAAATTCCCCGATTCAGATCGGAATCGGGCTTTCGATCGATTCGACGGGCGGGCCAATCGTTATGCGAGCGATCGTGTGATAGTTGGGAAAAGGGACGAAAGGGGTTGTCCCATTATTCGGGGGGGGGGGGAGGAGGAGAGTGATCCTGTTAGAGTACACAACGATCGCTTCGCATTGATGAGGGAAAGGGGGAGGGTTGATTTATCGATACGGAGCTCTGTCCAGCACGTTCGCCGAGATACCGAAAGAAAGATTGTGTTAGAAAGCTAATGGCCGGGATTATCATACCAAAACGGATCTCATATCGATTTAATGAAGTGTAATTTTTTTTTTCACACGGTATATACGGCCGAGCCCCACATTGCTGAATAGCAGCGTTGCCGTATTCCAGATTGTATCGTGAAGAAAATTGTTAGTGACGCGAACGATAGAATCTGCTGTACGCAACTCGGGATGGCATTCATAAAGAAGAATAGTTTTTCGAGAGATCGTATTGTAGCTCAATCGAGCTTAAACTATTTGCGCTCGGCCGTACAGCGCGAAGACATATTATTATT